CATACATACATACATACATACATACATACATACATACATACATACATGAATATTGGATTTCAGACCAAGGTTTGGCACCCCAGATGTTCACATCTCACATTATTTTACCCTGTTATGTGACCCTTGGAGGACAGTGATAAGGTGTCCCCTGTAAACCATCTCCATTGGCCTCATCCCCACAACAACCTCAGTTGCAGACTTGCCTCAGCCACGAGCTCCCCGTTTTCAGCGTGGACCCGGGGGATGGCCCCAATGTCCCTGCAGGCATGGAACACTTGGTACAGCTCACTATCTCGAAGCATGTACAAGTCCTTGTAGGTCATGAACATTTGGAAGGAGTTGACACCCTTCTCCCTCACTAGTGTCTCCATTTCTGCTTTTACCTGGAGAGCAAAATGCAAAGTCAGTGCCAAGTAGGGCTAGCGGGGGCTGGCCCAGTCAAGGGGTGGCCCTGGCAATGTTGACAAGGGCTGCGAATGCCTGTCTCAGAGGCTTCAGTTCAGGCTGTAAACTTCCAGTATACACAGGACATAGCTCTCTGTGCCTGGGCTGACCATTGCACAGTGCTCCCCACTAGATGTCCATGGTACCTCATGCACACATGTGGACATACTGAGGAGCAGCAGTCAGTGCCCCAAGTCTGGCCCACGGCCTTGGACTCTACTGCAACATGATGCTTGCCATGAATGCAGGAAAATGGGCTCTTTAAATTAGGCAGGACAAGCCCACCCACTGTCTACGGACTCCGAGATGTTTTGTTTGGCACACAGGGAAACTGGAGTGGTAAGTGTTCATCCCACAGGAGAGCATCAGGCACCAGCCAGCTCAGTCACACACCCCTCTGCACGCCAGACCACTGGTGCCTCCCTCGGGGGGGTTCCATCAGCACGGTTACCTTGGGTGCCCACCAGGTGATGCCTACATGGAGGGCATAGTCGCAGCAGACCTTGGGGTCAGCCAGACCCCTGCACTTCTCGTAGGCTTCCACAAGGGAGGTCTCCTTGTCGGGCAGGACGTGACCAATGATCATGGTGGTGCCGCCGACGAGCGCCGCCTGAAGGAAGAGGGGGAAGCCCAGTCTTGTCACAACTCTGCCTGCATTTAAGTCACTTCCATGGCGGGATCAATGCTCAGGGTCCACCCGGAACAACCATGGAGGTTAGGAGGGTCAAACACAGCAAGGCTCGTTTAGAGGCGCTTTGGGGGTATGACGGGTGATTTTCTTTAGAACTGTGGGTCTAGCAAACACACCTGCTTCTTCTTCATGCCGAGTTCTAGCTTGGTTTCTTGGGGAGAAAAGCACTTGGCATATTGTGGAGTCCAAGCCTAGCTCCCACCTTTCCAGTAAGATCTCCCTCCAAGTGATTTTCAGCTAACTCCAACATATAGACAACACAAGCAAACGCCACGTGTACGTAGATACCCGTTAAAGGTGTGAAGCCTAATCGAGTGTTCATGTATAGAATTTGGCCATCTAGTTCCATACATACATTGAAACCACAGTGTGTAATATGGCATTTTGAGGATAGTTTTTTTTCTGTCAACTTTTTGGCTTGCTTTTCAAGACAGGGTTTCTCTGTGTAACCCCGACTTGTCCTAGAACTTGCTCTGCAGACCAGGCTGGCCTTGAACTCACAGAAATCTGCTACTACCACCCAGCTATTCTGTCACTTCTTATGAAGTAGTTTTACTTAAGTTGGGAGTAATAATGAATGGGTCAAAGTTTACAAAATAAAGTACTCTTTTGGTGTGAGAGTTGTCAAAAAAATAAAAAATTCACATCTTCAACATCGGCCCCTTTGCCCACATTTCCTCCTCACCCAGCATATAAGCTTCATCTCTGTCTTGTCTGGGACGGAGCAATTTTAGCTGCATGTCTAATTTACAAGTGAAAAATGACCCACAGTTCACAGGCTTCAAGATGCTACTTTAAAAATAGCCCCCCATTTCTCGGGTCTGTTTGTGTGTGTGTGCATATGTTTGCATGTATGTGGGGCGGGGTCTTGATCAAACCCAGAGCTTGCTGGTAGGGTCAGCCTGCCTTGCCTGTTTGCTCTGGGGTCTCCTGACTCCACCTTTTCAGGCAGGGTGCTAGGAATCCGAATTCCAGTCCTCACTTTGATCACACTAAGCCAGCCCCCCACCCCCCAGCCCTTACAAAGGAAATTATAAGAAGCTTCACTCACAATCACAGAACAAAGCCCCGGGAAAAATGACTAAACCCATACTAAATTCCCCCATAACTCAAGAAAGAAAACGTATTTGAACAGGTGACTTTTGTGACCTTCCAAAACAGACACTGCCCAGAGGATGTGCTGTTCCTAAATAAAACCCTGCTGTGATTAAAACAACTGAGAGAGGGCTCTTCCCGCTTGGACAGCTGGAAGAGACCGTCAAACATCACTTCGGAAATGGTAAACTCCAAATGGCACTTAGGGTGCCACCCTGACTGGTGTGTTTAATTATCCCAATTCATTCTGCTTTCCACAGGGGTAAAAAAGGCCGATGAAGCTGTCTTCTCTACAACGTCAAATTCCCTGCTTGCAAGCCAGAGACACCGAGAAAATGAATCCAGCAGCCAATCAACAATTAAGAATGACGATCTCAGAGCCTGGGTAGTCTTGACGTCTTGCGTTGCTTAACGCAGCCAACAGAGGGCGGTAGCTCTGTGTGATTCACGTAGGAGGGGGTAGGGCGGGGCGGGGCGGGGCGGGACGCCCAGATTGTAGTTTACTAGCTGGCTTCTGTTCCTGGTTCTGCTGCATCCTGCAGGCTGATTCATCCTCACAGCAGGTGGCTGTACCGTTTTGTCCTGCCATGCATTTCTTAGCCATCCATGTGCACATGTGTGTGTGTGTGAGGGGGGGGGGGGGGCTGACATACTAGCCTTGTACACCCTAAATTATTTTGTTCTTCTTTGGTTTTCATGCTGCCCCTTGAGCACAGCAACAGCCATGGATTGGGGGAAAAGGGGACCCACAGGGAGCACAGTGATAAAGGAGTCAGGACGGCTCTTAACGCCAGAGGACCCCAAGGCAAAGGTAGAAAAAAAGCAACTCATTTGCCAAATCTCCAAATATGGAACAGTACGGACGAAGCTAATAAACCGATAACCTCCCACCATGACAAATGTCCCTACAAGGGCCTCTGGAACTGAGCTCCATACAATGCAGAGAAATCGGCTTTCCCCAGAGCCAGCCTGACCCAACTTCCTCCCTGGACACATGCTGAGTACACAGGTCTAGACTGTCCACTGTGGCAAAATGCCACCCCGAGGGCTATTTGTGTTCCAATCCCCAAGAAGAGAGGCGCACGCCTGTGGCTCCTGGAAGGGCTCCTGGCCTTTAGTCGGGGAATTCCAGGTACCCACAGAGGTCTGGGTCTGGGTTAGGAGACCCTGGGCAGATGCAGCCTCTGAGCCGTGTGGGGGAGGAAAGCAGGTAGTCAGAGGCCCCAGGCAGCATCCTCTGGAGTCGGAAGAACTGAAGAGTTCTGGAAAGCATGAAGAGCAGTGTGGTCTTGACTTCCCCACCTACTGGCTGTTATCCGGGGCAGCTGGGAGCCCCCTGTGTAGCTCCACATGCAGCCTCACGCATGTGCGTGCACACGTGCAGGGCAGCAGCTGTGGGAGGCTCAGAAGGGTACACTGGTGACTCTGGGCCTCCAAACCAGAGTTCATAAGCTCAGCAAACCCTCCTCCTACCAGCTGCAGGCTTGGGGCCTACCTGACACTGGGGGGTGTACATTCCCTCACAGGCAACACACACACACACACACACAAACTGGCCTTTTAAACTGGCACGGTTCTGATACCCAGGATGAATGCCTTGGGCTCAATGTTCACAGGAACACGACGACATCACAGACATGACAGGTCGTTTTATCATCACCCCACAGAAAGGCCTTGCAGAGATCATCACTGTCCTGTTTCAGATGCTCTAAAAAAAACATGTTTAAGGATACATGGCTGTGGGCCTGTCAAGCGTCATGACTACTTAGACAAGAACCGTTGCTTAGGTGACCTGAAGGCAGTAAGTCGCACACAGCACAGTGCTCACGGAGGCTGTCATAGGGCCTCTGCTGCTGGGAGGAAACAGCATGAAAGCAACCTGAGGAGGAAGAGTCCACCATCAAAGGAAGTCGGGGCAGGAACTGAAGGCAGAGCTCAGACAGGGGCTACACTTGTTCCCAATACACCCTAAGGCTGCCCAGGGGCGACAGCACCCACCCTGGGGCGGGCCCTCCACACCCATCAGCCCTAGATAAAATGCCCCGCAGGCTTGCCCACGGGCCAGTCTGGTGGGGACATTTTCTCACCTGGATCCCTCTTTCCAAATGACTCTAGCTCATCAAATAAACAAAACACCAGCAGGCTGGTAACACAAAAGGGCAATGGTGCCCTGAGCGGAAGAAGCAGATTCACTGTGCTCACGAGACGCCTAGAGCTATGATGAATCACACACGAGAAACACAGGAGGTGTATTATGCCAAGTGTATTAGTGACAGCGGTTTGGGGGTGACTGGTCCTGAGTTTTTTTTTTTTTCTAGCTTTTCTAAAATCCATTTAACGGTATATACTAATTTTACAACCTACACTAAAAGCGATGTCATCTTTATGATAGGTACTATACAAATAAGTTTGGAAGAAGCTAAAACTAAATTTAGTTAGCCATGCTTCCAGGTATAAAAGACATTAAAATTATGTGGTATTTCAGAGTAAATGCACAAAAGATTAAAAAACATGCCCAGGGAACCCACCACGCAAATTTATCAGACATTAATAGTTTTAACATTTTAAACTTTTTTATTTTTATTAAAAATGTTGCTGTGTGTGTATGTTGGGGTGGCACGAACCCAGGCTCTCATGATATACTCCCAGGTGAGAATTTTTTTTCCTTTGTATATTTGGGTATAAGTGTGCAGGAACCTGTACTAATATTCAGCCTTTCATGCTCGGCATCCCATAAGACCTCCCGATACAGGGGTCTGCATGCTCACCAGACACTGGCTCAGCAAACTGCGCAGGTACCGTGGTCTCTCAGAGATGTTTATTTGTGGACACAGGAGGTAACAACGTATTGGTCCTTCTTAGCTTTATCAGGGCAAAGAGCGTTGGAGGGTCATTCTCTTAATTTCTCCCACGTTGTTACAGATCTCGCTGTTCCCCTAAGTTTCCTATGGTGATGTCCCCTGACCACCCAACCCTCAATGCTTCCCCATGCAATGTGCTGGCTGTCTTGCTCCAGGGCCAAGAATGAACAGGTCAAGGCAAAAAACACTGTCCCCTGCTGCTGAGAAGGCACTTAGGCCAGGGCTAATCTGGGTTTTCCCCAGAGCCTGTGCTCAGGTGTGCGGGATCATGGGGGTAGGGAGGTTGTTTGTACAAAAAGAACCTGTTATGGCTGCTCTATTGCTAGATGGCCCAAGGACCTCACTTTAAAGGGAGTTCATACTGAGATTCAAATGACAAGTATTTGACGTTGCCGTGGTTCAGATGTAATCTGAACACGACTCCATAGCGGTTGGAGTGTTAAATTTTAATCCACACTGAGATGTCAAAAGGGTAGGAACAATCCCATTACCGTTTCTAGAGGTGAGGGCTTTGGAAGGTGATTGAAGCGAGGCCGTGGAGTATAGTCTCATGATTTAATACCAATGGTCTTACAGGGAGAAAGACCAGAGAATATTTCGCCACATACTTGTATGGTCTCATGCTGTATAACAGCCTGCACTCTTTGAGGACACTGCTGGCACGAAGGCTAAACCACCACATGCAGCCCTCGGCCCTTTGGGATCACGCAGCCTCTAGCATTTCATTACAGCAACAGTAAACGGACCAATACAGCGGTGCTTTGCAAACGTATCTTCGTGCAGTTGCTAAAGCCATCATGGTTTACGTGGATCTGCTTCTTGAAGAATCGCTGAACCACTTTTTCTTCTCACATTAAAATCTTCTTCTTTTTCTTTAATCCATATTCTAAGTACTGAAAAAAACCACCGACTCCAATGTCGTACTTGGGGTAACATCCCTCACTTTCACAGTTCTCTACTGCT